GACATGTTCGTATTAACACCGGCAAATTACTTTTATTGGTTGTAAATGCTCCTGACATAGAAGTAAATGGTAAATAATATAGTCATTAATATTCAGTGAATTCAAGGCACATCCATAATCCCACAACAAAAAGTCAAAATTAGATTTGTTTTTCTTCCCATTTAAGGATTTAAAGGCTTTTTTATTTGTTTTTTAACCATTTAGATTTTGATTTAATGTATTCTGATTTTTTAATACATAAAAAAATAAAGCTGGTCAAACCTTTTCATGGGCTACTTTATCTCCGTGGCAGCACTTTGAGCTTTAGTTTTATAAAATGTGCTATACAAATGAAGTGGATTGATACATCAAAACTTAAGGGAGGAAAAATTTATGCAATTCTTTAGAAGCGAGCACCATGAACAAGTGATTACATGTTTTTTGGCTGATCAGGAATGTTTAAATCCTTGTGCAAACATTAAGCCAAAAGGATCTAAACGATCCAGGCGTCAAGTTATGGCAGGTCACAACAATCGTGCACAATAACTATTTATTTAGGGTAATTTTTACTAATCGCTGTGACTGTTTTAACTTGAGCCAAGATAGCACACGGGTTCCGCCCTTAAATCTCTGCTTTGCCTGACAGCTGACAGAAGTGTGTGCCACATGGAGTCCACACAGAAGAAAAACAGTGCTGGATCCAGATAGTCTTTCCTGCTCAGTACAGGTGCATACATACATGCAGAAAAACTGTCGGTCGTCATAATTTAGTTTGAACCCAGAAGTGATCAAGGTGACGAGGCCTCAGCCACTCCGCCGGACTCAAGCAACAGAGAAACAAGCCATTCTTCATAAACACAGCAAATGAACACCGGCGTGTTTGTAAAAACCATGAGCCCATTGTTTATGAGTAATGCTCTCCCTGATGGTCAGTGTGCAGTAATACCACACCAGCAGCAGTTAAACATGGCGTCCAGAGCTCTGGGGAAAACAGGAAATACACTGATAATCCTGACTATGAAGTCGTTCATCGCAGTATTCATAGTGGTATGCAGTAGCAGTAGCAGTTATATTATATTACAGTACATAATAGTGATTAACTGACAATGAGCGTTCATACAGTAGTCCATAGTGGTAGCAGTAGGCAGTAGCAGTAGTATAACAGGACCAGATAAGTAGTGGTAGCAGTAATGGCAGCAGTTGTGATAGCATAGTGCTTAGGTGTAGTCAGACCCTGACAAGTCCTTGCTCCGCTCTGCTTGATTCGAATCAAAAGCGAACCAAACTATTTCTTTTGCTTCCGGTTCGTATTCAGACTGTCCTTTTAGCAAGGAACTTATTTTATATAAACATATCGTCACGTGAGACGATCGGCGCTACCGTATTGGACAGAAAGAGCTCACGGAGGATAGACACGGAACCGGCAGAAAACATTGATGGCTCCCTATGTGCAGCATTTCTCCTCTGCCCCTCTGTTTGCTCTTTTAGAGCAAAACCACCTTCAAACATTAACAGCACAGCATTCATATGACCACAGTCGAAACCCTGTTTTAAAAATTGGAACAGCGTCGAGAATGCTTGAGGAAAAGCCGAAGGAGACAGTCTGTGCGCTCCTGGTCCTGTCCTGTCCCACACATGGATCTATTATAATAACGCCCTGTTCAGCATGTGATAAACCATGGATCTATAATAACACGGGACAAACAGACGCAAAGGATCATGTATGAAACCAAAGAACACAATTCACTACATGTTATGCGGAATATTGCTCTTGAGACGTGAGTCAAACAACGTCTGGCCTTTTAATATGCAAATGGTTTATGAAGATGGCTGGCCATTAACCTCAATATATACTGTGAACAGTTTGTAACTCCCATAAGCCTGTTGCAACAGCATCTCCTCACGATGCTCCAGGTCTGCACATCGGCTCATTGTTTTGTTGTGTACGTTTGCAGCATAGTTAGACGCTGCATGGCTAATGTCATCAAAGTTTCTGTCTGCGGCTTGTTAAAGCCCAAAAAATGCGCACGTATCTTGGAGTTGTGTCGGATCGACAACCGGATGTATTCAGACCTGATTCGACTTGGACCAGAATTCGTTAGGAAGCGGACCGAGACCACCTCAAAAAGGGGGGTCCCTCAGGTTCGGTTCTTTTGGTCCCCGGACCAGATTCGTTGTGTGTATTCCGACCTGCATATAAGGTTCGGACAGAGTTCCAAACGAATCCTGGTCCTGTTAAAAGCGGAAGCAAATGTGGCAGGTCTGAATACAACCCTGTGGTAGTGTTGTAAGTAGCAGTATAATTAGCAGTATGGAATGCTGAAATGGTAGCAGTAGTTGTAACAGTAGCGTAGTATAGTAGTAGCAGTAGTATTAGCAGAAGCAGATAAAGTAGTGGTAGCAGTAGTGTAGCAGATAGTACCGTAGTAATAGCAGGACTAGTAAAAAGTAGTGTTCCAGTAGTAATTAGCAGTATTGGCAACCAGTTGTGATAGCAGTAGCTCAGTGCTAGTGTAAAAGCCAGCAGTATAAATTAGCACTAGTGGATACTGAAATGGATAGCTGTAGTAGTAGCAGTAGCATATATTAGCTGAAGCATGTTTAAAGTAGTGGTAGTATTAAGTAGTAGCAGTAGAGTAGTATTGAGCTGAAGCAGTTTAAAGTAGTGTAGTAAGAAGTAGTAGTAGTAGCAGTAAGTATTAGCTGAAGCAGTTAAACAGTGGTAGTAAAGGAGTAGTAGCATCAGCTATATAGCTGAAGCAGTAAAGTATGGTATAGAAGTAGTATTAGCAGCAGTAGTATTACTGAACAGTTAAAGTAGTGGTAGTAGAGAGTATATAGCACATAGTATTAGCTGAAGCATTAAAGTAATCTCTCCTCAAACAACAACAACGGAACATAAAAAAAAGAACGAAAACAGAAAAAAAAGAGAGAAAAAATCACAAAAGAGAAAAAAACAAAAAAAAGAAAAAAACAAAAAAAGAAAACAAACAAAAAGAACAGAAAATAAAACAAAAAACAAAAAAATAAAGAAAGAAAGAAGAAAAAGAACAACCAAAAAAAAACAATAAAAAAAAAAAAAGCAAAAGAAAAAAAAAAAAAATAAAAAAAGACATAAAAAAAGAAAAAAAAGAAATAAAAACTAAAAAGAGAAAAAAAAAAAAAAAACAAATAACAAAATAAAAAATATAAACAAAAAAAAAGAAATACGGATAGAAAAGAAAAAAGAGAACAAAATGTAAGTAAAAAAAAAAAGATAGAGAAAAAAAAAAAAAAAAAAAAAAACAAAAAGATAAAAAAAAAGAAAAACGAAATAGAAGAAGAAAAAAAAAAATGAAGAGCAGACAGTGGACATGCTGCCATCTTGGTTACTCTTGTACTGCCGGCAATGCGAACACAGCTCTGGCTCCGGTCATACAGGGACCGGACGGCCCTCAGCAGAGGACCTCCGACCCCGTACTCCCGGAGAACCCCCCAAAGGACACCCCGGGGAACACAGTCGAACGCCTTCTCCAAATCCACAAAGCACATGTGGACAGGTTGGGCGAACTCCCATGAACCCTCGAGTATCCGATGGAGAGTATAGAGCTGGTCCAGTGTTCCGCGACCGGGACGAAAACCACACTGCTCCTCCTGGAGCCGAGATTCGACCATCGGCCGTAGCCTCCTCTCCAGTACCTTGGAGTAGACCTTACCGGGGAGGCTGAGGAGTGTGATCCCACGATAATTGGAACACACCCTCCGGTCCCCCTTCTTGTAGAGAGGGACCACCACCCCAGTCTGCCACTCCATTAGCCCCGCCCCCGATCGCCACGCGATGTTGCAGAGACGTGTCAGCCAAGACAGTCCTACAACATCCAGAGACTTTAGATAATCAGGGCGGATCTCATCCACACCCGGAGCCTTGCCACCATGGAGGCTGCCAACCACCTTGGTGACCTCAGCCAGGGAGATGGAAGTATCCGCCCCAACATCCTCAGCCTCTGCCTCTGTAACAGAGGACGTGACGGGGGGATTGAGGAGAACCTCAAAGTATTCCTTCCACCGCCCAACAATATCCCCAGTCGAGGTCAGCAGCTCTCCACCCGCACCGTACATGGTGCTGGCAAAGAACTGCTTCCCCCTCCTGAGGCGCCGGACTGTTGGCCAGAATCTCTTCGAGGCCGACCGATAGTCATGCTCCATGGACTCTCCAAACTCCTCCCAGTCCCGGGTTTTTGCCTCTGCAACAGCCCGGGCCGCGGCACGCTTGGCCTGCCGGTACTGGACAGCTGCCTCAGGAGTCCCCCGAACCATCATGGCTCGATAGGACTCCTTCTTCAGCCTGACAGCATCCCTTACTGCCGGTGTCCACCACCGGGTTCGGGGGTTGCCGCCGGGACCAGCACCAGAGACCTTGCGACCACAGCTACGAGCCGCCGCATTGGCGATAGAGGAAGAGAACATGGTCCACTCTGACTCCATGTCCCCCTCCTCCGCCGGGACCTGGGAGAAACTCTCCCGGAGGTGTGAGTTGAAAGTCCGTCTGACAGGGGGCTCAGCGAGACGTTCCCAGCAGACCCTCACTATACCCTTGGGTCTGCCAGGTCTGACCGGCTTCTTCCCCCGCCAGCGGATCCAACTCACGACCAGGTGGTGATCGGTTGACAGCTCCGCCCCTCTCTTTACCCGAGTGTCCGAGACACGCGGTCGAAGGTCAGATGATACGACAACAAAGTCGATCATCGACCTCCGGCCTAGGGTGTCCTGGTGCCACGTGCACTGGTGGACAACCTTGTGCTCGAACATGGTGTTCGTGATGGACAAACCGTGACTGGCACAGAAGTCCAACAACTGAACACCGCTCGGGTTCAGATCAGGGGGGCCGTTCTTCCCGATCACCCCTCTCCAAGTGTCACTGGCGTTTCCCACATGGGCGTTGAAGTCCCCCAGGAGAATAACGGAAATGCCAATAGTCATTAAACTCCACATGGTGCGTCTGTACCAGTTGTGATCAGTTTAATGATGTGTGTTTGTTGCAGGGAGCGTCTGGGAATGGGAGGAAACCAGTTGATGGAGATGAAGTGTGCTCTGGAGCGCTGCCTGGAGCTCAACAGGCCACAGGCGCAGCTATGACACCGTCTGCAACGCCGTCTACAACACTGTCTGCAACGCCGTCTGCAACACCGTCTGCAACACTGTCTGCAACGCCGTCTGCAACACTGTCTGCAACACTGTCTGCAACGCCGTCTGCAACACTGTTTGTAACACTGTCTGTAACACCGCTAACCGTGAACACCGGCTGTTATAAGATACTTGAATGAGCCTCTTTGTGTTTACAGCTCACATTTGCATCAGCACAGACTAGACTCTTGTATTTTTATATTTATTGTTATTTTTATGGGAAAATGGCAGCGATGTTTTTAATACATAAAGTCGACAAAACCAACTTCATATTTCAATATTTGTTGCTTCCATCTATGGATGCAGCTGCTCTTGCGTTGAGCTTTAGTTCTTTTCAGGACTTTAAACCAGATTTTGGGGAGAACTCAGTCATATTTCAAGCAATGTTTTGATAAAATTATTTTCAGATATATTTGTTTTTCTCAATAAATATTGTTTATTGAAGTAGCTTTACTGTAACTCTATATTCAAGAAATATAAATAAGAAGTCTTAAATATATGATCATTTTGTGACATTTTTGCATTATTCAGTTTGCTGCACTTTTTACACTTGTTTTTAAGACTGGATGATTTTAGGTTAAAATAATTGTCTTTTGTTTTGAAATAAAAGCATAATTTATTTTGTGTACAGACAAAATACATCCTAAAATCATCATCAGCTTAACAGAGTCCCTTTAGAAATGTGTTTCTTTGGTTCTCAGACCTTTGTCATTTATTGTGTCAGATTTGTATTTTTCATTTTTCACTGAAGAATTAGACATTATTTTAAATTCACACTGTTTCAGACCTTATTTAATTATTTTCTATCCTTTGTATGCATATGTCCAGCCAGTGTAGCTGTGTGTCTATATTTTTAGCCAACAGTCGTGAAATCCTTCTTGCATTGTTATTATCAATTGAAGGCTTTTTCTCCGGCTGGATTCTTCTCACTTGAAAATATGTTTTTAGCACTGCATTAAAAATGTCAGTATTTTTATATGCGTATCGTTACTGGTTAATTTAGTTTTTGTACGAATCTATTCCCAGGAAAATATCTCTAAAGGTCTTTGAGACTTTTAGATATTGGGTTTCTTCATTGTATTGTCATTTAGACCACATTGTTTACTTATCTTAGACTTCATTGTTAGACTCCATGTTTACTTTTTAATGCGCTGGAAACGGCTGCAAGTCCTGAGTAGTTCTGAAACAGTTGTTTTTCTTGCTTTTTTCTGCCTGAGATGTTGCTGCGCAGTGTTCATGGTTTTACACTGGTCCAGACCAGAGCAGAGAGGATTCATGGTTTTACACTGGTCCAGACCAGAGCAGAGAGGATTCATGGTTTTACACTGGTCCAGACCAGAGCAGAGAGGATTCATGGTCAGAACCAAGTGGATCAGGAGAAAATCCACTGGAGGAATGCTAACTTTTTGAAAAATGCTAATGAAGCATTAAGAATTTTACTTTGGACTAGAGCAGAGAAAATGGTCTGAACCAAGCGGCTACTCCACCTTTTGACCTGTCCTGCTCCACCCAGAGGCTACTCCACCTCTGCTGCTGTGACCCGTCCTGCTCCACCCAGAGGCTACTCCACCTCTGCTGCTGTGACCCGTCCTGCTCCACCCAGAGGCTACTCTACCTCTGCTGCTGTGACCCGTCCTGCTCCACCTCTGCTGCTGTGACCCGTCCTGCTCCACCCAGAGGCTACTCCACCTCTGCTGCTGTGACCCGTCCTGCTCCACCTCTGCTGCTGTGACCTGAAGGGCTGTTGCATTTTATCATTACTATTGTTAGCTTTTTAGAATGATCAATTTTTAGTGGTGGGGGAAACCGGAGCACCCGGAGGAAACCTACGCAGACACGGGGAGAACATGCAAAATCCACTCAGAAAGGCCCTGTTCCGCCCGGGATTCGAACCCAGGACCTTCTTGATGAGAGGCGAGAGTACTATCCACTCAGTCATCAAGTGGTATTATATACAGCATGGAGACCTCCAGTCAGCCTTTGCCACAGTTGGAGGCAGCGTCGGCCTTGACATAACAAACACCAGCTCCTGCATGTGTTATGAATAATTCAGCTTTAACCACAGTTTGTTCAAAGTGTTATAAAATATCCAAACATGTACAATAACTTCACTTTGGGGCCAGGAAAGTCCAGGTTTCCCATGTATCTTTTACCACATGGTGTTGTCTCCACTGCCTGTCGGAGCTGCTGAAGCGTCTGTACCGTTCTCAGGCCCTCACTTAGTCACAGGCAGCAGTGATCTGTCATGGGGGGGGGTTATGTGTGTACTCAGCTGAGGGATTAGGCTGCAGGTGACGCACGCATTCCACCTGCCTGAGCCGTGACACATATCCACATCTCCAGACATGTCACTCAGGCACAGGCGTTGGAAGGGTTCCGAGTACCCAGGGCCCAAGGGCAGGGAGGGGCCCTCTAAAGTGTGTCTATATGTATTACGCATTAATGTATTAGGGGGCCCATCGAGTGTGTTTGTACCCAGGGCCCAGAATTTGGTGCTACCCCCCTGCACTCAGGCCATGTATGTAATATCATCTCAAACTTATAGTATGATTACGCTCATATGCAAATGTTCCAACAGAGGGACATTAGTTTACTTTGTCTGCCCACATTTAAATGGGAAGCGTTGAGCTCCAAGTGAAATCTGCACTCCTAATTTTGATCAAACTGTTGTGGGAAAAGTCAGGGCCAAACGTGTGTTGGTATTGCAAAACCAACAAAGTATAAAGTTCAACATTGTAGGCCTTATGTATTCTGCAGTCTTTCCACGATCTATAGTCGTTTTCAAATGGAAAAGTGTAGGGACCTCCCATCAAAGCCTTAAGTCATGGCCCAAATAACTGAATTTAGTTTAATACTAAAAAGCTGAAGTTATGAACAAAATTACCAGACCCTGGAATTATGCAAATTGATCAAAACTTACCTTGAGTAAAGTAAATCTAGCAAGTAGTAGTTCTTATATGCTAATTCAGTTGTGTTTTATGAGCTCTGTTCTCCATATCCTGAACCACAACTAAAAACATTTGATGATTGTGTCCTAAGAGTGTCCATAATTCACCATTTTTTTACTTGCCGCTGTTCTTTTTGCGACCGACTATCGTGAAATGTAAAGTGACAATGATGTAATAGTCCCTCTGCAGGGTCATGTGATCAGTAGATTTGTGAATGAGTCTGTGGGAGGAGGTTTAGGCCGCTGTAACGGGGTCGGCCTGGGTCTCACTTAGCACTGTCCCCATCCCATGACCACCCTCTTCCTGCTCAGTACTTCCACCAGCTTAGCACTAATCTCTACCAAAGACACTTAAGAGGAGCAGGAAAAAACTGCTTTGTGTCCAGTGGAAATCCTTGAGTGAGTGATTCCAAGAGTGATATAAGGACAGTTCAAAGATGACACGGTATCATTCTGAATTAAATGGTTTATTCAATAAGAAATGTTACAAATGTGATAATTTGCTCTAGTTATTCCTTCCAGAAAAGTGTCGATGCCTGACAGTTTGAGCACAGGGTTTTTCCAGTAAACTGCACAATGGACATCAACATCATCTCACAATAACAAAGTTTGGTTAGCAGAAGCATTGTGCGTGTTGTGTTTTCTGTGCACAAAAGTGACTGGCACAGGTTAGAGCGACTTAAAGCTGTCTGCTACTATCGTTTTGTAAATAAGCAGTGTATAAAAATATAAAAAAGGCCATTTTAAATTCAGAAATAGGAAATCAGTTAAAATGACAAAAGCCATGACTGGTGTTCATCCTCTTGCACCGGGGTAAGGCTTAAACCACTGACCTTTCGAAGAGTTAAATTATTTTAGAAACAAACTTAAATAATTTAAAAGTCAATCACCACTTCAGGCCAATCAAATGACCAAGATTAATCGCTTTTCTGAAACCCTCGAGTGACAACCCTTCCATCTTGTGTAGGAGAAGAAAGCACTGGATTCGATGTTGGCAAACGACAGAATGAGAAACAATATGTACAGCACAATAACTCTGTATGCAATATGCAAAGGCGTCATGTTGCTTTGGGCAACCCCCCCTCCCCCTCCCCCCACCCCAATATAAGTCAGTCTTCACTGAAGACCCCTGTCCACCCCCCTCCCCCCACATAGCCGCTCACACACAGGACATCACAAACACGATTACGTCACTAAGCCTGTTAGTTTGAGAAGGTGAAGCACTGAAGACACTAGCCCCAGCTTTGGCCAAGTCAAATTTAAGACCTTTATGCTGACTGTTTAATTTTGCAAACTAATCTTTCTTGAGCATCACTGAGCCAACTTCTGTTCAACAAAAACACAACTTTTTGGTCTGTTTGGGATCCAATAATCATCTAAAGCCAAAACTTTCAAACAAAATCCTGGACGGCCTCATTTCAGGCCAAGTGCAGTTCTTAAAAAATTTAGTTAAATTTGTGAAATGGTGTTATTACTTGGAAGACTGCACACATTTCAACAGGAAAACATTAACGCCAGTCTCCCAGTCTAGTGTAATGTTGAGGCCTTAAATTTGTCTGGGTCAAACTTGGACCTGCCCCCCCCTCAGTCAGACACTGGGGAGGGGGAGGTGGTGCAGTCGTTCCACTCGTCCATCTCCGGGTTGTACACTTCCATGGTGTTGAGGAATTCGTTGCCGTCGAAGCCGCCCACAGCGTAGATGTTATTTCCCAGCATGGCTACACCGGCGTTGCTGCGCGAGGCAGTCATATTACCCAGCATCCTCCACTCGTTACGTACCGGGTCATACATCTCCACACAGCGCAGCGCATGGGAGCCGTCGAAACCACCAACGACAAACAGTTTGCCTGCACCACAAAAAACAAGGTCTCACCTTTAATAATCAGAGTTTAGAGCGATTCCCCGAGTGGGCAGTGGTAAAAGTACAAATAAATAAAAGGGTTTTTACACAATTTGCCTTCACACTGACTCTACATTTGTATTTTCAAGTGATCAATTTAGTATTTCGCAGATAATTTTACAGGAAGGCCTAACTAATGTGGGATTTAGAAGCCTCCTCCTTCACCCGCATTCATACTGTTGGCACGGGTCAACTTACCAAATGAACATTGGCCCAAAAACATGGGTCTGTGTGAAAACGACATTACTAGTCCACACCAAATAACCACTTTACAAGTAGACAAGCCATTACACTTTGGTCAAATTAGTTTACGGGTTCTGAGATATATCCTGATACTTGACCAAGTTGATTGCATTTCAAAGGAAAAATTATCTACAACACTCAGGTTCTTGTGAAATGCTACTTTTTCAAGTGCAGGACGAGACAGACTCTGACCCGACATAAGTACAAATTCATTTCAGAATTTTGACACTGTTACTTAGAATTGCAGGATGATATACATTCTCTGACAAGAAGAAACACGCTATCCCAGGGCCGCAAATCAGACCCTTAGCTATTAGAATCCATCTGTACCATCCAGGCCACACACTACCGCAACAGCTTTCAAAATGACATGTGTAACAGAGTTGTACCTGCATGCACGGCCACGCCAGCCCCCCTACGGGCCACGTTCATGGGGGCCACCAGGGTCCAGGTGTTGTTCTCTGGGTTGTAGCGCTCCACACTGTTCAGACAGTTCCAGGACTCTGCTCCACCAATCACATACATGAAGCCTTCCAGCTCACACACAGCGGCCTGGTGCCTCCCTGAAACACAGCCACACGTTTACGCGGCTGAATGGGTCGTGCAATCAGCCTTAAAGGGTATGAGATACTCACTGATGTTAAGAGAGGCACAGTTGGCCCACGTCTTGGACACCGGGTCAAAAGCATCACAGTTCTTCAGGCCTTTCTGCCCACATGGATCAGAACCACCCACCACATAGAGTTTGTTGTTTAAAGAACAGACACCTGAAAATACAATTAGAGTTAGGGGACATGGTATGTTACCAGGTGTGTTTGAATGAGGCCTAAATGAGACCGCATGTGCTCACCTGCATTGCACCGGTTGGTTCTGAGCTCTGGCACCTGCAACCACTCGTCAGCTTGCGGATTGTACGTCTCACCAGAGCTCAGCTCGTCCGAGTGGCCGTTAGATCCTCCAATCACGTAGAGCTGACCCTGGTGAAAAGACAAACCCTTTTATCAACAATGTACAGAGAAGCAACAATGTGCTAATGAGTGAGCGTTTACCATGAGCACGGCCATCTGGAAGCGTGCACGGGGAGTGCGCATGGGCGCGATGAAGGTCCAGTGGTCGTCCAGCGGCTCGTAGCACTCCACCGTCCTCAGACACTCCTCTCGGTTGTAGCCTCCTGCACAGAGAGAAACCCGTGCATTTCAGCAAACAACAATTTGAAAGGGCTTTTCTCTTGGAGCAGACAAGCGCACTAATGGGAATAAAAGCTGAGGCACTTAACTTTCAAACCACAAAACATGTTTGGTACCAAAGCTTTTGTTGACATTACCTGCTGCAATGATCTTTCCGTTGAGCGCTGCGATGCCCAGGCCAGAGCGAGCGTACTGCATGGGAGACAGCGGATGCTCCTCCAGCTCCTCAGGCTGGGCCTCAAAGCTCAGGCTCTTCATCAGACAGGGGGTAGCCGAAGGGGACGTCTGCGGGCTGCTGCGGCCGTGCAGGAAAATCACACACAGCACGCTGTCCAGCACCGCCAGGCACAGGTACGTGTTGTCTGGAACACCACAAGCCAAAGTATATAGAGAACCGTTTTGCGTAATGAGGCCTTTGAAATAAAATATAATGTCCTAATCATTCCCATGTCTACGGCAGTTGAGCCTTACTTGTGGTCTTCTCCGAGGCGATGTACTTCCACTCTCTGCGGGTCGACTTGGGCACATTGGCTGCCTGGTTGGAGGGTGAAAGGCTGCCGGTGGAGCTGCAGCTCATTTGTCTCTGGGCGCTCTCTCGTACCGCTTTCTTCTGTAAGAGCACAGTGCAGCTGCAGCACCAAAACCAAGGTACGGCCGCTGGCTAGCACCAACACCAATCCCACACTAACACCAGCACTCTGACCTATGGTTGCACTGTGCCTATGCACAACTCCCAACAGCCTCTAATCAGCCGAATTACAGCCGCTGACTGACCAAGAGCAGTGGAACAAGATTCAATTTGACTGGAATGGATGCATCCAGTGTACAGCATTATCAACTCAAATTGTGAACTTTACTTTTAGTTTATTGCGCATCTTTACGGGGCTTTATCTTCAACACAAACCAGTTCTAGACAGCAAACAAGCAAATTCATGCCATCATTTTTTGTTTCAAACGGCAACAAAATTCCAAGAAATCTTGAAACATTGAGTCTTATCACATTCCTGCTGACCAAGGCTTTGAACACTAACACTTTTCTGAACATATAGAGTATTGTTATAGTTCGGCACACTGCTTATAGCGAAGCAAAGACAAGGCCAGCCTCCAAGTACCTGCACAAACTGAAGGTGGTCCTCGTCGCCACCAAACACCTCACTGTGGCCTTCGATCAGCAGCAGGCCGCCGTCCAGCAGCTTATGGTCGGCCGAGTAGTAGAGTGTTTGCACCTGTAAGACAAACAGGAACAACACCTATGTGGCTGTGTCCATGGAAACACAAAAAGCCCCCGCCCATTCTGGGGGAAAACAAGTGAACACGCCGGCTGGGTTTCAAAAGACAAGCTGCAAAAATGTAAGGCTCAGTTCTTCTGTAAAGCATAAAGATTGAAGAGGACACAACATCCACGCCGTCTTCAGTGCATCTGGAAGAGAAGAAAGTGAAGAAAGGGCCATCTTCAGTGTAGGACCTCCAGTTTCCCCAGAGCCTTCTGCTGCCCCATGGTAACCAGTCCTTTAGCAGGGAGAGGGAGAGGAGGGGGGGGGGGTTCTCATCGCTGACGCCACCATTTGCAGTAACATCCAGAAGACACGGCAGTAAAGTTATGATCGTTCCGCAGAGGGTTCACCTCGTCACCAGCGAGGCTCTGGACGTCTTACACTTTGACATAAGTGCTTATGCCGTTCATTTAATGTTACGCTGCAACCAAGATGTTTCTTCGCAATCGTTGCAGTTCATGTGAAGATAAGACCGTCGAGATTCCATTGCATGAAGGAAAATGTGGGGGACTTTTCAAAGTTTTGAAGGTTAGGCTTGATGCAGTCGTTTCCCAAATATCAAGTGGTTTTGAAATAGTTTGGAAAAAGTCCAAAGTATTCAAATCTCAATTTTGTTCCAGCTATACACACTTCCCAAATAGTTCCAATTTCAAGTGTGTATGCACAGTACAGACCAAAAGTTTGGACACCCTTTCTCATTCAATGAGTCCTTTCTTTTCATGACTATTGACTGTAGACCTACACCAGGCTGTGTAAGGGCTGTTTGACCAATAAGGAGAGAGATGGTGCTGGGCCACATGACCTCCACAGTCACCGGACCTGAACCCAGTCCAGATGGTTTTGGACCTGAACCCAGTCCAGATGGTTTTGGGGCTGGACCACAGAGTGAAGGGGCCAACAAGTGCTAAGCATCATGGGAACTCCTTCAAGACTGTTGGAGACCATTTCAGGTCCTGTTGAAGCTCATCCAGAGAATGCCAAGAGTGAAGCAGTATCAGAGCAAAAGGAGCTACTTTGAAGAACCAGAATATAACACATATTTACACTTGGTTCATACTTTTTTACTACAAACATAATTCACATGAGTTCATTCATAGTTTTGAGGCCTTCAGTGTGAATCTACAATTTTCATAATCATGAAAATAAAAAACTCTTTGAATGAGAAGGTGTGTCCAAACTTTTGGTCTGTACTGTAAGCATTCTTTGCATGTATTTAACATTGAGATGCGATGATGATGAAGTAGGCACAGACGCCGCTTGGCCGTCCTCTGACTCATTACCCTGGTGGCTCAGTCCTGGCTCTTCAGTCCCATCCTGCTGCTGCTGCTGCTGCTGCTGCAAATAACCCTATAGGAAATAAAGTAGTGGGGAGGAGCGCCTGTTAGTGTCGTATCCACAGAAACACCAGAGCGCAAAAGTCACAATCAAAAGCCTCAAACCTGTCCCAATGTTGTGTGAGCTTAAGATAAGGAGCGCTTATGGTCTCCAGATGGGTGTGTATGGAAAAAAAAAGCCACATACCCAACAGAAAACAGTAGGAAATGGAGCAAACACCAGCTCTTTTTAAATCTCACCTCTGATTTGCAGTTTGGAATCAGGAAGGAGAGAGTTGCTTACAGCCAAAACCTCAACAAATCAGAGGGAACAAAAAACAAACAACAGTCCTGACGTAGAAGCTTTTCCACTTTCTATTTCTGAACACCTGAATGACTTGTTAATGTCAAATCCAGGCAGAGTCGTTGGGTGGAGAGGGGCGGTGGGTGTGAAGAAAAAAAAAAAACAAACACAGAAAGACAAGAGCCGGTACTGACCTCCTCCATCAAGCGCTCCAGTTGTTCCCCGTTCTCCCACAGGCTTCGCTGCACCCAGCTCAGCACCTTCGAGTAGAGCTTTCCGTTGCTGGGCAGGGCCAGGTTGTCTTCTAGCATTATTTCTAACTGTAAGCAAACATGGCCGAGTATGAGAAAAGTCAGATGTATCACCTTTGACCTTAATCCATAGTCTAATCCCATTCTGTACACTGCATTTCAGAGTCTTATCGCGGAGAGCCTCAACAAGCACAATTGCGAGCTTCTCTGAATTTTAAAGCCAGTGATTTTCACACTGCACCAAGGAGTTGAAATATTCCTAGAAAATTATAAGCAGATAATTCCAAACCATCCAAAGAGCCTATAGTTTAACGTTGCGGTGGAGGGCAGCTGAAAACCGTCCTATTATGGTATGTGTAAAACAAGTTCCACACCTTCTTTGTCGGCACATATCAACTACGGTCTAATTATTTTCTCATAAAAAGGTGTGACATTGTTCAAAAACACATGTCTCAAAGTCCTTTCTATTGGACAGCATAATATGGTGGCTTTGTGAATCCATTGGTAATCACCTTCTGAGGAAACATGGCTTTCAAAACAGGTCTTCCCATCGGGCCTGAAATAAGTAATCAATTCACCAATCCTCTTATTGTTGGAACTTTACAGGTTCTCTAGTTGCTTTTCCGTAGGGCTGGGCGATTAATCGATTTTAATCATTAATTCGAGTTTTACGTTTAGGGCGATTTCTTTTTTTAAAAATTCGATTTTTATTTTCTCCAGCGCAGAACTACAGCGCTAACGCGCTAACCGCGGGTCTATGGTGTTGAGCAGTCATTTTGAAGCTAACAGTCTCCCTCTGGCCTGATGCTCGCTCTCACAGTTGCTGCTGTTGCAATAACACTTCAAACGTTCAAGAATCAGACTTTATTTTATCGCCAGAACACACACACACACACAGGCACGCAGGCTCCGGTCGCTATGTTCGTACGCCATGTTCGTACGCCATGTTCGTACGCCATGTTCGTACGCCACATCTTTCACGCTCTCTCACGCTCGTTATTCCAAAGCGCACTCCCGTGTCCGTGGCGCGCACACACTCGTGTCCCACTGAGCCGCTGCACTTTGGGGAAAGACACGTCTCACACATTGTTCTCATTGCTCTGATACAAACAACGTGTTCCCCGCTGTCTGTTAGCTACAGTAGCTGCTACAGTAGCTGTTAGCTACAGCATCAGAATGTAAACAGGAAGCTCGCACAATGCGGGAGTCACTGAAGTTAGTATTAGCGCCACCAGCTGGACCGAGCGTTGTACTACAGCACAGTTACTCAGGCACAGTTGAAAGAACAAGCATGAAAACCCGAGGAGGCTTTTGGAAAAGACTGTTACAACATTTCTATTTTGAGTAATCAGTTTTAAAAATGTGATATTTCATGTAAATAATGCATGTGTTTAATAGGATTGATATATTTGCGATGGGCCTTGTTTGTGTGATTTAAGTTATTTTGAAGGTGCATAGTGTCATTGTAAGTGAAGTTATTATAAAACTGTTAAGCTACATTTTCACTGTTTACAATGGCAGAGCCATCTCGTTTACAAGCATGTTTTAAGGCTTAATTCCTGTTACACTTATGCTCCATGGGGATTTAGATTAAACTGCATAAAGGAAAATCTATTTCTTTGTCAGTTGTAGTTTGTTTTTGAATAGAAAAAAATAAATCGATTAAAATCGAAAATCGGATTTGGTGTGAAAAAATCGGAGATTTTTTTTTTTTGCCATATCGCCCAGCCCTACTTTTCCGGATTCTAAAGTCCTGAAATCGTCAAAATTCCAAACAGTTTAAGGCACTCCTTACGTCTGAGACCAGCTCGAGCCACTCAGTTTCTCAAGAACTACTTTAAAATCATGAAAAAAATTCTGTTACTTTAAAGAATGTTCAAGTCAGTTTCAATCGTCGTACGTTGAAATGGTCTGAGGGGATTGGAATTATGAACAAAACTAGTAATAGAGAATGGATTGGATGAAAATTGCAGGGTTGAAATGAATAATCTAACCCAACATGTCTTGTTATGATTTTTCCTAGCCTGGTCGTACCACACCATAGTACAAATTACATTTTGTACTAAGGCAGGGGTGGCCAACCCGCGGCTCGTGAGCCGCATGCGGCTCTTTGGCTGGTTCCGTGCGGCTCTCGGGCTTCCACACGACAAGCGTCAAAAACGCCTCGGTGGTGGCGCTGCCATTCATTCTCTATGTAGTTCTGACCCATAGTAAAGGCCGACTTCACTCCACTAGCCAGGCCACCAAAACAATCTGACGTCGGCGAACGTCAATTCTGATTGGTCAGATGCGCTGTCAACCACTCTGCAGCCGCTGCCTCAGCTGTTAAATATTATAACAAACACGTTGCCTCGACCCATGGCGTCCGTACGGAAAACAGTTCCTTGGTCGCTGGATGAGGGCAACTCCTTCCTCAGTTTGAAGAGAGGACACCAGCGTGAGCTCGATGGTTCCACCAGAAACCAGAAGGTGTTTGTGGAGCTAGCGCTAAGGACGGAGCAGAATGATTCCCACAAACATGACAATGCAGAGAAAAGTTAAAAAGCTTAAAAGTGACAACCGTGAAATGAAAGATCGCAGCAGCAGAAGTAGAGGCAGACCCGAAAAGTCTGGAGGTGGTTTGACCAAATGGATTACATTTACGGACATCGGCTAACACCGGCTAACATGCTAAAACCAGCTAACACCAGCTAGCGTTACACCAGGAGAAAAGCCAACTCTGCCTGGTGAGTGTCTGTCTTCAATCAAATGCAAAAGTATCTGGTCTTATACTGAGCATGTGTCTGTGGTTCTAAATCAGCTAAAGTGGTGTTGGTGTTATGTGTCAAATTTATATCTTTTACTAAACACAGTCAGAGTGAATCATGGTTCGATAAAGACAGTTGTGTTTCTGCTGAATACTGGGTTGAAACTTGATTTTTTTTTCTTGGTTAGAGATTGAAAGCATTCATTTCGGAATCATAATTGATGTTCGCTGACGTGCAATTGTTCTGGTATCGACTCGCCCGGTTAGAACCAGGGCCGAACCATCAATAAAAAGTACCGGGGAGCGGCTAAAGCGAGCGGTGGAAGCGCCCGCAAACCGGGGAGAGTCGAGTCCAGCCCTTTAGTACTGTACGAGTCAATTTCTGTCATTATCATGTTGATGACATTTACATCTATCTGAGCAGAGCACACCTCTCTCTGCTCAGACAGGTTGCATGTGTGTGCGTGTCTCTGCTCGTGTGCGTACGTGCCCGTGTGTGTGCGTGTGTAAGGGATGGGGTGATGTTTATGTAGCGCACATTTGTATGATGTGGCTCTTTGCTGTAACAAAGTAAAAAAAATGGCTCTTAGTCTCTGACTGGTTGGCCACCCCTGTACTAAGGTCTGGATTTGCTCCATTGACTCCGTGAACAGGTGGGAGGGGTTAACTCCTTTTGCAGATTGAAACGATTGGATCTGAGTTTACCGTGACGTTTGTAATGAGCCCGAGTGAGTCGTTAGCATTTAGCATTTAGCCTAGCTTTAGCCGCTAACGGAGCCTGTGGGGAGTAGCGCCAATATCTTTGCCAGCGATTACATTTGCTAAACATTCGTCACCCACAACTAACTACAACACCTGCCTTGATTGGTCGGTCGAAATTCAACCGATTGTAATCGCTAACACAGGGACCAGACCCAGACGTTACATGCAGTGAAATGAGCGGAGAGTACGGATGGATAAGGCCAGGATAGTGTTTTCCATATCCAACACTCTGTTTCCTCACAAGTGCAGGAGTCTGTAAAAGCACCTTGAGGCGGGGGAGTTTGAGGAAGTCCTCTTGTTCGGACACTTCCAGCAGATGGTCCTGGATGTATGCGTCCACTTTGGCCAAAACTCTGCCGTCTCCCATGGAACTGGCAAAGTTCCGGAAGGAGATTGCATTCTGCGAATCCATTTTAGACAGCAGGTAGTCCCCACAGATCTAAAGAGTTAACAAAAAAAGTTTAACATTTTACAGCAATAATGCATAAGTTACATTTGAGCGTTCACTTTGCAACAGTGAAAGGTTTATTTGACAAGATATTTAGGTTCAGAAATGGAAACAGATTAATCTGTTGATAATTTTTCCCCTTTTTAAAATCATCATTGGTGATATACACGCACCTGTTTGACACGCTCCATCTTAAAGCGCCTGGCCGCAGAGTAGACGTCCTTCACCAGCTCTCGGTCGGCCTTCAGCCTGCATTAGCACAGAAACAGGCGTCAGAGGCAGATCTGAGCCAGGACGTGAAGCAGACCTGTGCCTTACGTACTGGGCAGTGTAGGCGTAGTTGAGCAGCACCTCCACAGCCTCGGGCTCCAGGTCTTCAAAGGTGACATGGGACACTCCATGAGGCTCCAGGTCACTGTTGAAGATCTCAAACAGGTACGGGCTGCAACAGGCCAGGACGGCGCGGTGAGCCATCAGTTCATGACCACGCACCTGGACAAAGCCACGCGTCAGGGTTATCCTGAGCAGATGTTCAAAATGACTGCTTCTGAATTCAGAAAAATACACCCCTTCCTCTTCATTGACCAAGAAGCATTTCAAATGTTCTTAAGTTAAATTTTACTTGACCAAAGCTTGTGACAAAACAAAAAACAAAAAAACCTTTATTAGTCCCTTGGTGGGGCAATGTCAGTGTCAGTGTTGGGAACATTGACATAAAAAGGAGGCGGTCGTAAATGAGAAAGCTTTACATTTACACCAGAGGAGCTCAGTCTGAGCCTTTTCCAGTCTTCCTGCAATGACAAGCCTGGATATGAAGCAATGAAATTGGGAGTTAGTCCCGTCATAACTCAAGGAAGTGGAAGGAAGTGATCACGTTTAGAGTCATCTGAATCATCGTCTGGATGCAGGATTTTTTTAAGATAAAAAGATTAAGCTTTACGAGGCTTGTTCCCTGGCAGAGCTGGAATGTGTTATTCTATCTGGCTAAATATAGTGAGCTAAATCCAGTCTCCACAAAAATTATAATTTAAATGAAATATGGGGATGTGTCAGAATAAGTGACTCAAGTCTCATTTCCACCACCACCTGGCGGCGTTTCTATTACACTTTATCTGCTACCCACAACTAACCAGTATCCCGGAGGTTCCTCTGAAACCATGGCTTACAGATCACTTTAGCACCAGCTCAGCCTGGTCCAGGGCTAAGCAGCTACTAGAAGTATCCATTAAACACGGTCAGTGGAAACAGTCAGGACAGAGTAGAATGATGGTGGACAAGGCTTCAGTGTCATAAATGTAGCGCCTCCTTCCCATTTCCCCGTCTCTTGTTCCAGTCCTTGTTTGTGGAGCAGGGCGGAGTCTGTTCCTCACAAACAGCAGCAGCTTAACCGTATTAGACCTGGTTTCTTCCTCCACACTATGCTAGAGCGTTTCTCTTTTGTGGTACATACAGGTTTAGCAGGTGCTTATTGGACAAAAACAGTCTAAACTTACCGTTCTACTTTATTTTTTTTATTAAAAGATTAAACTCCTACACAGCTGGTTTTGGCTCATTTTACACACACAAGTGAAAGTGGGCGCCATATTTCACCAGTAAAGCGACTTGCAGCCTACCGAGCACCGTACCTGCAGTCGGACGTCGCAGAACTGACCACTCTTCCTCAGAGCGTTCATTTTGGCCACAGTGGAATCCAGAAAACTCTCATCCTCGAAGATCAAATATCCATTGGGAGTCATCCTGGTATTTTTTAAAGTTTTGCCTGTGACACAAACAATACGTATCATACATGACATGTCCATTATTCATTTTGTCAAGTTATACATTGGTTAAGCTTCTGAAATGTTAATCACTAAATCTTTATTTGTAACCCCAGCGCGTCACACCCCCGGAGTATAGATTTATTTGTGATTGATTTTAGTCCATTTGCATTAAAAAGTGTAAGGTGCATGTACTGTTGGAAACCTCCGTCACATTTTTTAGACACAGAAGAGTGGAAGAGGACAGCCAATCATATGCAGACTCACCGGGCTACAAGAATGTAAAAATATATATATATCTAGAATAAGGACGACATTATAGAGCAGAGCCAAACAAAGTGTATAATTATGATGAAACAAGAATTCCCCAGCTTTTATGATCGTATAAGATAATGCTTTGTCCAGCAGAATTAAACACAGCAACACGTCTTGATTAATGGATGACTGAGGAGTCGGGGATTAGGATTACTACGAAACGTGTACTATAATCCGTCCTATGCATTAGTGATGGCCTTACCTAACAGAAGACAATTCAAATCCAAATGAAGAGTGACGTGTCGTCGGGAGAACGGGCAAAGCTGACCAAAGGTAACTCAGTCCTCTTTGTCCGATGGGGAAGTTAGAAGCAATGCCAGGGGACCACGAGGCCGGGCAAACTATCAGGCTTGAAGCGACAGTAATCAAGTCCTCAGGAACCCGTTGGCTATAGACTGGCTCCTATCCTGTGTTGGTCAAACATTGTAACCTGCGAGAAACACAAGGACAACAAGCAACGGTTTAGAAGCAGTGTGTTTGTCACCCACGGACAGGTCGTTAGCACATGGAAGCCACATGGGACACACTCACGAGGGAGGAGTCTAAAGATAGAACACTGGAACATTTCCAAACAGGTTCAGAAAGAAACAGCCTGGTTTCTGCGAATATGCATATGACGCACCGTTTCTTTAAACTAGCACAACTTGAGCAACTCCTGGAATGCATGTAGTTCTGTTTAGTCATGCGTGCAGCGTTGAGCTTTGAAGGGAAGCAGTTCTAAAAGACAGTCAACAATATTCAGATACAGATGTAGAGAGAACCATGTCAAGCACCGCACTGCAAAGTCTTAAGGTTGAGAAAGTTTACCAGCAGCCATAAAAAGTCAGAATGTTAAGACTGGAGCTATGCCTGCAGCAGTCCTTCTCTCTTCTGAAGCACAGACACTTGTGTTCGGGCTCATGTCTGGACGAGCCCCCGACTGGCTCCACCCTTAAGAAGGGACAAGCAATGAGTGTCGTCTCCCCACCCACATAAAGCTGAAACTACCACAGCAATCCCAACATGTCAGATCAGCTTGGCTTTTGGGCTGGATACTACAACCTCAAAAAACACCCAATCTTTCCCATAATTTCTTGAAAAATGCGCAAATTTTCAATCCAACAGAACCAGGACGTTCCTTTTATACCAAAAGCAATAAAACGGATAATTGTGGTCATATTTTGAGTTGTCAATCCAGCAGAGAAATAAACATTCCCAGGAACAGGCTTGGCTACTTCAAATATTTAAGCAAGAAAGTAAGTATTCCAAATATTAGCATAAGAGACCCAAATTAGTCATTTTAAACATACAGTGAAAAGCTCGTGCTATAACAGTACAAGTGCAACCATTTATGTGTTTTTATTTTGCTTTTATTTAGAAATGTGATCGGGAAAGTTAGACCCTGCCCTTATCCGAGAGGAAGTGCGACCCTGATGTTATTTAGCGGGATTAAAAAAGGTGCATGTGTCTGTCCATATATGTTACGTTTGTCATCACCTCCTCCTGAGGATTTAAGTGATTTCATTCAGGTCCGTCGCTGAGTCAGGACACAGGCTGCAGGCGAGAGGAGTGAGGCCGCGCACAGAAAAGTAATCCAAACAAAAGTAATCCAAACAAAAGTAATCCAAAGAAAAGTAATGCAAAGATAAATTAGCGTTATCTGCATGTAAAGATTTTTTTTAAATGACTTTCAGACATCATATGGCGGGTTTGTGTAGATTATTGTCAACAAAATATGACGGACATGTTGGAATTTGATACAGAAATAAGACCAAGCATTCAAGAGTTAGCTCCCGAACTAGCCCAATGCTGAGCCATTTTAACTCTCTCTCCAGGCCTGAACATGTGCAGAGAACATCCAGGCGCTCTGTGATGTCCTCTGTCTCTCTGTCCCTGCTCAGACTGCCAACAAAATGTCCGATGACGTCATATGGTGAGACCGACTGAGGCCCTGGTCTGGGTCTGGTCTAGTCCGGTTTTGTGTCTCAGGCCTTGTTCCGACAAGAAACACGCTGTTCCTGAAAATGATACTTGTATCACAGAAACCTTGTCCTTGAGTCTTCTCTGAATTCACTAAACTCAGGCTAAATATTACACAAAGACATTTTATGCAAACACCTCATGATAATCAGTAGTATACAACATTTTAGTTCAACAACACAACATGTGCTGCATTTCTGGAATCTACACCAATATAATCACTATCAAAATAATCTGGGAAAAAAATGTGGGCATTTTCCTTTTCAAAAATGTCATTGATACTTAATGCAGCAGTTCACTAAAACATAAACGCAACCTATCCTGGATATTTGTTTACATCTGATGAGTACTTTTGAGAACCTGAAGAAAACAGCTCTGCTCCAGTGCAAAGGCCTCAGCGTCTGCGAGACTGTGGCAGAAGGAACACTGACCTATTTTCCACTTGCTCAACATCTACCCACCCATGTCCGGTTACACCTTCCAAACCACTTCCCCCTCCATCGCCGAGCATTCTGGTCCTACGCTGCCCTCTGCATGCACCCCCAGTGAAGCCAGGACACACCCCAGGCTGTGTCATGCAAGCTCCACCCTCCAGTTCGCTCAGTGGAAAGGCTGCACTTTTCAGCAAATTATACCAAAATAAAAAAGAAACGCAGACATCGATGAAGAGGCAATACTAAAAATATGCAAAAAACACCCAATGTTAACCACAATTTCATGAACCTGGACAATACTATGGCTTTTTAAAATGTTATGTACTAGAGAATGGATATGAACAACGTGTGAAATTAAGCTCTCCTTTAATTTGCATTTAAATCCAACATGGTGTGGTTAATTGTAGATCATTAAAAAGCTTTGTATATTAGAACGTTGAAAGTTGCATTGGTTTAAAAAATGCATTTGAAAAGCTGTGTCCATGATGTCATTGCAGAAGGGGCAGAGTGGACGGGTTTGTGCCAGAAGCTTCTAATATTCACAATGTTCTAACATCAAAATCACAATGCACTATAATATATTGCCAATTTAAGACCCAACACATACCCAGGTTGAAAATTAGTGCTGAAATGTTCTTTAATAAGGAAGTCTAAAAACAGCCAATCTCCAAAGAGCATTGAATCTGTAAAATTCACAGCCACACTCTAAAAAAGCAGCACACAAAAGCCCAGACAAAGCCCTGAATGAGATGTGGCTCACAACTTTGTCACAAGCTGGGGCCCTCTAGATCTTTCCATCCCATTAGGCAGACACACGCTGAACAATCAATGCTTGTTACTCTCCTCTTGTGGCCAAAAGCAGAGCTACAGGCTTTTCACCAGTGGAAATTTACAGACTCCAATTCTTGCTTTAAATTATTAGATTAGTTTGAATGCAGCTCGACACTGTCATCACAGGTGTGCCTTCACATTTAAATATTTTTAGGCAAGCCACACGTGCGTAAAAGCTTAACAACTTCAGTTTTTTTAACCAAAAAACCCAACACGTGTCAGTTATCTCCATGGCACTGCTAAAGGAAAGCATAAAAAGTGCACGACAATCGATTTTGAGTACACGTACATGTTTATGCCAAAACACCACAACATTGTTTATTTTGGCTAAGCACAAGATGTTCCCGTGCGCAATAGAGTCCCACCCTGGCATGCTTTGGGTGGGCATAGCCGTGCTGCCAAGCCCTGTGCCAATCACACAGCCGTGTCCACCTCCTTGTAAATAGTATGTGGACCACTACGCGCGCTGCTTTGGGCCAAACTGGGTCAGCACACGCAAGAACGTCATCGCTTCGTTAATAAAGCGATTAACTGCATCAACACTAGATTGTACATCTCGCGCCAAGCAAAAAGAACCCGTAGTGGCTCCATCCGCCCATAGTGGCTCCATGGCGCGTACTACAGTGCGTAATTCTGATAATGGGGAGGGTTTGGTAAAAATCTTAACCCGCGTGTGTCAGACTGGTGAAGAGACACGTGTGGCCAAGAGCAAAGGAGCGATTGCGACGATAGCGAAAGGAAATATGTGTGTGCGTAAAATTGTATGTCTGCGAGTGCGCGCCATTCATTCTATTCAGCTTAACCAAACCAGAACGTTAAAATACATGCCTGTCGTGAGAAACTTGCGTAAATGAATTGGGTTAAATCCAAATATGTAAACTGTGATGGATGAAGATGTATTAAAACAAAAATTTGGCGAAAACGCGTCAATGACATTTCAAAAAACGACAAAAAAAGGGGGAAGAGGAAAAACGGACTTACCCGAGGCTTTTGACGACAGATGCGTTTAGGCATATTTAGAGTGAATTCAGAGGGGTTGTTTGGAGGTGGAAGTAATCACCAGCGAGAGCAGAGGCGGTGGGAGCGGGTGGATCCAACGGGGCTTTGGTGCGTGCGTTCCGGTTGAGGCCTGGCTCGGATGTGGCTGTGACAGAGCGGAGAGAAGGTGAACGCTCTGCTGCTGCGCGCTCCAGGAGAAAAGAGCAGTGCGCACAAGGCAAGCCAACCCCCTTTACGCCACGGTCAGGGCGGTGTCTCTCCTCCCACTCACACCGATGAAGAACCACAGAGAACGGGGCAGTGTGGACTATGTGGCATTACTTGTATTCTTTCACTTGGTTCATAAGTAAATGTGTCATAAAGTTGATAGACGGTACAATTCAAACATTTCAGAAGATTGATGTATATATTTGACTCTAAATAAGCAAGAACGATATGCCAATATGTATGTCTCAACAACTAAATATTTGATACAAATTCAGAATTTCCCGCCAAGAAGTGCAGTTGAATGATTCTTTAAAATCATGGAAACAGACTTGGATCCGGATCACTTCCAAATCATGTGTTTCTTGTTTCATTTTTACTCTTTCCTGAAATGTTGAAATCTGACAATAGCATTTCAAGTTGCAAACAAAATTACTTCTAAACCCCTGGAGAAGTAATGCATTAAAAACTTCAGTTGCCTCTGCCCTAAATCGCAACACTATATCTCGGAGGACTTCCAAAAGTTGTTTAGGAAGTCTACCAACACAGATCACCGAATCAAACCGTTCAAAGAACATAGAAAACATGGAGCCATTGGTTCATAAGTGTCCTCAGGCCCTGCTGCCCCCTGGTGGCTGGGTCAGGCACGTTGGGGCCATAGACTGTTTATATTAACATAGTCACGCCTATCTCCGCCGTTCTAACTAATGGGCCAAAAATTGGGCTTTAATGGAACGATTCAAAATGGCCGCGTCAGCTGCACGAGCTCCATTCATTTAAACGAGAGACTTCTAAAGTCCACAGCGACTAAACTAGACTGGTCCAGAACACTCAGCATTGACACACATGTGGAACGGAGCTTTGGGCCAAGAGACAACTTTTGGACCATCCTGTAAAGACGTTTTTGAGAGGTAAGAAGATGCTATATGTTAGCATTGGCTAATTCTTATTCCGGGTCCACCCCCACAGGCCCGGGGTGGTACTGCAGCATGTCAGCGCACGTCATTTTGGACACTTTTGAGCCGGGACCCGCCCACACTGGTTGGGGCACAGTTCGCTTACATCCAGCTTGTATTAATAATTTATAGAAAATCTAAAGTTTTATATTTCTTGTCTTTAGCAGGATAGATGTATGAAGTCTGTCCCTGCACGTTTGGAAGAACCCTGGACTGGTCCGGATAACGAGATTAACAGATCAGCGGTGATGGCGGTGATGGCGGTGATGGCGGTGATGGCGGTGATGGCGGTGATGGCGGTGATGGCGGTGATGGCGGTGATGGCGGTGAAATGCGGCGGCGCCACTTCCGCTGTCTGGGCGTTAGCTCACTGTAACTTAAGCACCAACACATGACACATGACATTAAGCTCAAACGTGTGAAGAAAGTAAAGAACGTCTATTTATTTATTTGTCCATGCATCATATTTATTTCATTCCATTCAGGACAAACTGGAACAGTAAGACACAAAGAGTTATACAAAGATATTTTTAACATCCGTCACAATCGAGCATTTTCCGTCCTATTCGTTAACAACAAACTCACTTTACACTTAAAATATTTTCATTTTCTTCACATTCAGTTATCTTTTGGTATTTTACATTTTTTTGAAATGGAAGATATCTGAAGCACATTTCAGTGAGTTCCTCTGAGCGTTACACAATGGAACACCACATACTGCACAGACGCACACTTCTGCAGTTTTGAAATGATATTTCCTTCTGTGGTTCGAGTCCTTTGACATTTGAACCTCTAATGAACGGCTTCTGGCAATAACTTCTGCCAATAATTTAACAACATTTGAAGATTAACCAGTTGTTTGTCCGTCGTCTGGATTCGTCTGGAGTTGTTCTGTCTCTCTGTCTATGAATCTCTGTCTCTGTCTCTCTCTCTGTCTCTCTCTATGTCTGTGTCTCTCTGCATCTCTATGTCTGTCTCTGTCTCTGTCTATGTCTCTCTCTGTCTATGTCTCTCTGTCTCTGTCTGTCTATCTGTCTGTATGTTTGTGTGTGCTCTCTGAAGCCCTTTTTGTTTATTATTCTAAATGCTTTTTATGATTGATGATTTTGTTTCAATATTGTCTCTTTTTCTAGCTGGAGTTGTTCCAGTGTTTTCTTAGTTGTGGTGAAATTTGTACCTTTTCTCATCTAGCTCTGAGCTCCAGTGCATCATGGGATGTAAATGTCCTCCAGTCCAGGGAGGTCCTCTGGGGATTGTAGTCAGTGCTTGTTTGTTTGGACGGCCTTAATTCTGTTTTATACTGTATTGACCTGATCCACATTAACTTTCTTTGTCTTTCTTGTTGTGTGTATCTGTCTGCTTTAATCTTCTGTAGTTATTTTGTATATATATTACGACTAGTACGACTACTAATATTGTTTTATGAATATTATTTTTTGACTGCTTTTGCTACTGTTGCTATTGTAGGGGCTGGTGCTATGTGGACTGGGCGGCATCTCCCATTTCCACCAAAATGATCTGTATTTTGAATAACACCACATGCTTGAAATGATTGCACCTGAAAACAATCAGAGTATTGCGTAAGTCGATTGGTGAGTTTCCAAACGCTGACGACATCTGTGACGACGGTGTGTGTGGATAAGAGCAGGTTAGACACACAATCACATGACTCCTGAAGGACTTCCGGCTGTTTGAGAGGGCCTGAGCTCGGCCTTTCCCTGGAGGGCACCGCCAAATCTGCAGCACAAAGTGATTATGAACAGCCAACTTCAGCACATCTCATTAGACTGGTGACTTCAGCAGGTGGAACACAGCACAGAAAGCATTGTATAGAGCTGTTTTCACATTTTCACACGCAATAAAGTGAGTACGCTTCCCAAACAGCCCCTTTTCAAACCAACTGGACCTTCTCTTTAAGTGTACTTGCCGGCTTGAAATAAACAAGTAATCAATGACACACGTGCTGTATTTACATATTTCAATATTGAGCAAAAACACTGTAATCAAAGAAATAAGCAACGTGGAACATGACCACACTGAAGTTCTTATATATTTGTGTGTGTGCTTTTCTACCTATGCACTTTGTTCAGTAATAACAAGTGCAATCTCCTTGTTTACTACTTTTGGATAAGGGTGTAATCACTTTCGGCCAATAATTTCATCAAGCCTTCACCTTTCTTAAAGGGTACTGATGAGTTGTACTGTGTGAAAGATGAGTCTCTGCATGTTATGTCAATATTGCACCATCTGACCTCAACTCTTGAAGATGCACTCATGGCCTGCTCTGTGGAGACGGAAACACGTGACAATCGGTGATAGCGTGAATTCTTTCTACATCAGGGGTGTCAAACTTATTTTGGTTGAGGGCAGAATAAATAATGAAAGGGCTGGTCAGGGGCCGAAAGAATGAGTGGGTTTCATTTATTATAATGTTTTAATATTATGAAGGTACCTAAGTAAATGACTTGTTTCACATAGTTAGATTGGACATTCTTTTATGATTAGAATTAGTTCAGTTACTGTGGACTGAACCAAAACTGGACCAAATATTGAAGGTTTGCAGTAGGATTTTCTACTTCTGTGTGGATCATCAAGACTATTGGTCCTCCCAACTGTCAATCATTCTGGTGATTCATGCTGGTCAAATAAGACCAAACAAGAGAGTTTTATTCAAAAAGTGGAGAGGGCAGTTCTTACAGTAACATACATAAAACATAAAAAACATAAAAAATAAAATTCAATTCTTATGGAATTGAATTTTATGGTTGTTTTCTTGAGAAAGTCAGTAATGGATGACATGACGTTGTCGCCTATTTCCATTAATGCTGCTATTTAATATAATAATTTAAAATCATCTAAAAATCATCTCAAGGGCCACCGGAAATGGTCTCGCGGGCCGGATCTGGCCCCCGGGCCTTGACTTTGACACCTATGTTCTACATGTTTAACTCTGTAAAGCCCGAGACACGCACAAACTCCCATAACAAGTGTATTCTCAGAAGCTTGTCTGTGTTTTTGGAAATTGGGACTGAACATCTGTGAATCTGTGAATCTTTTCGACCAAGGACTTTTCTCATAAATTCTACCGCCTCCCTGTAGACGAGGAGACAGAGAACCTCCACACTCCTTTTACTGCAGTGATACAGCGTTAATGTTTTCTGACAAGGACAGCATCAATATTTCAGGCTGCAACTGCCGAGTCAAAGAGGATTGGAGGAAAAGCTGTTCTGTTGAGCTTCAGATCTTATGTTTAATAAAAATAAAAAAAATAAAAATGTTTTGACCCTCAAACATGATCTCCCAGACACTCCCAGACCAACTTGGGAAAGACTGAGTGATATCCTGTGTGTCTCTTTCATTCGTTGTTAGTGGTTGGAGGAAGCCGTTTGTTGCCAAATAAATATGTTTGACCAATGATCATTATTTCAGCCACATTTACGTTCACGCCAAATACTGTGAACATGTGTATCCTGCCTAACGACCAACACAGCCGTTGGCCCCACTGTGGCACCTGGTGTTAATAATAAAAATAAATTGTATATATATTGCACCTTACATTTCCAGGAATCATCAAAATGAAAAACAAAAAACAAGTACATAAAATGTCGAAGAAAACAGGAGGGGTTAAAAGCTTATAAAATCCCTAATAAATGATATCTCCCATCACTTTCCTGCCCTGCTTAGCCCGTCTAATGGGCTCAGGCTACTTGTACTTGTACTGCTGTACTTGCAATACCACTCCGGGCCTGTGGGGGTGGACCCGGAATAAGAATATTCCAATGCTTTTGTATGGCTTCTTCTTTCCTCTCAAAAACGTCTTTACAGGATGGTGTGTCAATGCTGAGGGTGTGTTCTGGACCAGTCTAGTTTAGCTGCTGTGGACTTCAGAGGCACTCGTCAAATGAATGTGGCTAGTACCAGCTGACACATGGGAAAATGTGTTTTTTCACATTTTTCTCCCCCCCGGCCATTGTGATAAAGGCCATAAAAGCCAAAAGTGGTGGAGATAGGTGTGACCACGTTAATATTCACAGTCTATGGCGCCACCACAATAATGCTGTCGTTCTGACCTATGTTTCGGTCACGTCAACCAACATCAACTTAACCAAATTTGATAGTCTTTCCAATGTGTTTTTAGAGTGAGGGCTCTTTCTTACAAGTAGATGGAGACAGTTGGACAAACAAAGTGTGTTATTTATTGGAAAAAATAAAAGTAATTCACTCTAAGAATTAAAACTTCCCTCAGGGTTCAGGCGTCCTGATGACACTGGTTCTTACTAAGTAAAGGTGAGTATTCTCAGAATCAGAATCATTTTTATTGCCACATAAGTAACAGGAAGTCACAGACTTGGAAATTGCTTTGGCTCAGTGCAACAGTCAGAGAGAGAGGTAAAAGTAGAGAAGGCGTAATAATAAAAAATAAAATAAAAGCACTTCTAAGGAATACATTTAAAATAGAGTTACAATTACTATAAACAATATAGTTTATAGTAATTGTACTCCTTCTCCATCGACTCCCACTGATGACTGCTGTCGTTGTGTCCTTGGGCAAGACACTTAACCCCACTTTGCCCAAAGCCCCCACTGAAAGATCAAGGCTCTGCTCACAGTCAGAGAGCAGCCGTCCTCCTGTGGACTCACCACCTGCAGAGGGTCAGTGAGGGGCTGGTGCTATGAGACTTGGGTGGCATCTCTGACTGCCCCCCCCCTGACCCAGAAATGGATTAAAAGGAAGAAAATGGATGGATGGAATATACAAGTGCACATGGTGCACACAATGTAAGGTGACAGCAGTACAGTGAAGTAAAGTGACTTTATAAAGAGTTTTTTTAAACAAAGGCAGTTAAAGCACATATACAGTATTTTGTTTCATTTCAACCCACTGTGTTTTTGTTTTATACACCGCATAAAATATGTAAACTTCTGACTCTCTCTGTTTGGATCAACAACATGTATTTGATACAAAATATATAAGTTTGGTACTCCAGCTTTAATAGTCCTAAAAATGAGACGTGTCGGACTTTGTCAGTTATTAAACGAGTTTCTCACGGTGAATGTTTCTCTGAGTGTGACCTTGTAGTTACATATTCCTCTGATAAGACGCTGATAAACTCCTGCACCAGTGTCAGTGACTTCAGCACGGGCCGGGGCCTGTTTCTGGGTCGGGTCCAGAGAGGCACTGGGTTGTGGGGCTGCTGTAAGATTGGACCTGGTTGTGAAATGTCAGCGGCTTTTCAATTAAGCAAAGAAATGCACAACACTGCGTCAAGAAACACAGTGAGTCGCTGGAAAAGAGTTAATTGGAATTTCACACAGAGAAAGGAGCCCTTAAAGAAGACGCAACCTGCTGCCGCTCTATCACTGTGACTTTGTTATGTTTTTACAGCTTTTTGAATCTTAGTATTGAGCTAAAACCACATGATAAAATAGATCAACTAAGCACTTCTGTACTCAGACTTTGGCTACACAAGTTTCGCCAAAAAGTGTAATTGTGATATTTCTGACCTACTTCATGACTGCTTTTTTGATTCCATGTTAAAAAAGCAACATTTGAAGCAAAAAAACTCAAACCAAGAGACATTTTCACAATTCAAGTGATTTTCTATTTATCTTTGGTTCCTTCTCTGTTTGTATTTTGGCCTAACACTCTCCACACACATGAATCCTCCATGTGTTTAGTCCTCCTAGCCTGGCCCTAGCCGTACACTCCGGTCAATCATCATTTCCCTGCATGTAATTTGTACTGTGGTGTGGAACGACCAGGCTGTAGTCCTGCTCTGGTCATAAATCCACAGTGCTTTTGCAGAAGTGGGACAGTCACACATGAAGGAGCTAAGCTGGATTAACCTACTGGTACACTGACCTCTGTGGCTTTCCAAAAGGTCTGTATCGTGCTTCTGTGGACAATTCAAATGCCTAAATAATAATACTTTGGCTTTATACAGCTGCCATGGGGCACACTGACAGAAGCGTGGCAACCAGTGCCATCGGGTCTGTGGACGCATTTCCAGACTGTTACAATAAAGTACACCTTAAAATGCTTCTGGACGTTGCATAATCTCACACGCAGCGAAGGACATGATCCACTTTATCTTCCAAGTCAAATATTATGCTCTGTCAAGGAACAATAAACACAGTGACATTTGCAGCTGGTGTCAAAACAAAACAAGAGCACAACAACCATACTTGTATTTGACACCAGAGAAGCGGCTAAGGCTAATTTTCCACCAATCACAGCACATGGCAAAGTACTGTTCTTAAGGTTATATCATTAAAGGTCTTGGTCCTCTTGTTTTGACTTTTCTGTCTGAAAAAGCTGAAGATGTGACAGAGGCCAAATATACACATGTGAAAACTAGTGATTAAACTTTGAGAGTGAGGATCTAGGTCTGTATAGATATTCCTATTGGACCTTAGGTAAAAACTGACAAAAAATCATAAAATATAATGAATACATTTAATCACCTCTTCTGAATCGGCTTGTCGTAACAGACTTAAAATGTTGGGTTTTTCATTTCATTTCAGTAAAATTATTCATTATTTTTGTGTAGCCCTAAATCAGAACAGCAGGCCTTTTGGAGGACTTTACTTTACTGTCCATAAATGTTAATAAATGTCCATAAATGTCGTTAAATGTCCCGGATCATCCTCAGACCCTCCTGCATCATCATGGAACAATAAGAGAGGAATCTGCTCCAAGACAGACCGACTAGATCCAGGACTCACTTTGGCTCAAATAGTATAAGTTAAAGAAGCTATACTGATTTTTTTCTATTGAGAAAATAAAAGTCCATATAACTACATATAAGTCGTATTAAAACCTGTAATTTAATGTAAAACTTGAGCTCATTGATTCAGCTGTGGATGAACTCAGTAAAAAGTGCTGAGTAGAGACTTAGCGTGACGCCCGCTCTCCTCCAATCACAGAACAGGCTGCGTCCTCTAGCCTCTACAGCGCTGCTAAACACAGTAGCATGTTAGCATAAGTGGCTATAACTCCTCTGGCTGTAACTGCAGACACAGCAAAACAGCCCAAACCACACAACAGTGAGGAAGAGAAGAGGAACTAAAGCCACAACATGATCAAAGAAGAAACCAAGCCCTGAACAGAGCTAGCTTACATCGTATCCTCTGGAGAGACTGGTCTGAGGGAGAGACCTGCGGGACCGCCTCGGACTATCTATCGCTTGGACTATCTACGCTCGGACTATCTACGCTCGGACTATCTACGCTCGGACTATCTACGCTCTGACTATCTACGCTCGGACTATCTACG